GATCATTCGACTTCATATTATGGCTCCGATTAGATCTTGATGAGACAACGAAAAACTTTAAGAAGTTTCGTTTCATGACCTATTGATGAAGAACTATGATGGACTATAGACACATTTAAAAGGCATTAGATAATCTTGAACGTTTCAATGGAAACGAAAAATTGAATCTCTCGCTAAAGAAATGTTGGTTTCCGTTGAAATTTTCAGGTCCAAACTCTTTGTTTTGGGTTCTCCAGAAATGTTTTGCTCTTAGTAACATTTTCATTAACACGATCATAAATCTTCATCAATAGGTCATAGACTCGAATCAATTAAAACTTTTCTTTGTCTCAACGAAGCCTATTCGAAGCCAAAAATTGAAGCCAGACACAATCCGTCAGTTAGATACATTCTCTTAAAAGATAAAAATTTCTGAACTTAGATCATAAAATATAATTACGATGCATCTAATCGATATATGATAGTTTAATATTCAAACATCAAATAACTGTTTACTATGTGGCTTGTTTCTTTTTAATTGGCTATTCACAGAATTCTCGACGTTTTATATGATCGAAACCAATTATCGAATTCGTGTAAAACATTCAAAGATCATAAAAATAACCTTTCTTTCTCCAAAATGATTGGTACTATCAAGTTTTTATATTATGGATCTATTGAGCATCCATCATAAGATCATTGCTTTATAACAGGTCTGTTCGAAGAAAATCATACTGTATCATGGAAGTACATCAGACAACATGAAATCAGCTTTTGGCTATTTTCGAGTTCTTCCAGAAAAAAGGATTAATTTTTTTGAAGCAACAATATGTGGAGTTTTGTTTTGTGTGACTCTGATAAATACGGTGATCTTTGACGATGCACCAAAATGTAATTCCATATGACAGATATTGAAAAGAGGGAGAAACGTTTCAATGAATGAGTTTTTAATGTAACATTAAATAGAAAATTCAGATTCAAATGTTTTTGAATTTAAACTCAGAATGGACATGATAGCTTTCATTTTAGTATTTCAAATGATAATCAGAAAAAGATATTATAAGAAAGAACAGTTTTGCTCTTTTAATTCTATTTATTTTGAATATGTTGAAAGATCTTCGTCGAATTAAACGAATCGCATTGAAAAAAAGAAAAGAAAATCTATTAAATGTGTCATAGTGTTGACGTTATCGTCGTGGTGACTATTTTTATATCGTTTGGTTGTCTCGAACACTTTAGCAAATTGTAAAGTTTCTTTTCTAGACAAATTCTCTACAATTCAATCGTGTTGGTGGTAGAACAGGAAAACGTGGATGTAAGTGTGGATACGGTTGTAAGTTTTTGTTGAGTCCCAACCTACTCTTTGATCATCTTTATTATTCAATCGTGAGGATGCTAGAGTGAGTGTGAATGTGTGAGACTGCCTGGATATGGATATATGGTTTTAGAATAAGTGAATACCGATACTCGAAGCTAACCTACACCTACATCCAAACCCACGCACACCCCGCATCTACATATACCCACACCCACGCTAGCTACACCCTGTTGTTGATCCATTAGAAAGTTGAAAAACATCTTTGCCGTTAAGCGCTAAATCTGCATTTATTGAAATATCGAAAAAACGAACAGTAGGAGCACCATCAAGTACTCATGAAATTAAATCAGAAATAGCTTGTGATGACGACAAAGAACCAATAGGTTTTAGCCATTGAATAACATTTTCGATCACATAACATTTGGAAATTATACAAAACAATAAAAATAAAATTCTGTGTAGATAACTATTATTCGTCTCCGGTGATGTTTTTCGAATAACTTTTCATAAGAATTAAATAAAAATTTTAGCTTTTAACCATAAAAAAAGAATAAAGTGGTGAATGTTGATGAGTACAACTGATGGAAATATTCGTCGATTTATAGATATGACTTTGAAATATAATTGATTCATACGTTACATTTATACCTCACGATGTCTAGTAGTTATTAACATGAAATAGTATAAAATTTAAGAATTATTTTTTTGAGAAACCTCAAAGAAAAACAAGTTTTGAATAAATGAAATTTTTCAACCTTATTTTGAAGAGTTTTTGCAGGTTTATTTTAATCTGTTGACGGCGGACTTATTTTTTT